TTATATTGGTAATAAAGGGAATTTTAAACCTGTTCAGAAGGGAGTAATTATATCAACTAAATCTATTTTAGACCTAGCAGATTGTGAAAGGAAGTTTCAATTTTTACTGACAGGTAGACTTACGCAAGACTGTGTAGAAAATCTTTTTTCTGTTCTTCGAAGCAAAAATGTAATACTAAATGCTCTACAACTTAAAAATAATCTTAAATTAATTACCACTTCTTTATATATGCGTCCAGTTTCTCGAGGTAATTACGAAAAAGATGATGTGGAATATGTAACAGATTTTTTAGATATAATTATCAAAAACAAATCCGAATTTTGTAATGAGTTAAATGCTGATTTGCCATGCGAGCTTGTAACTGAGGAAGCAAATGAATTAAATTCTACAGAAAGTAACATTTTATATAGTATCGCTGGATATATTATAACAAGCATTAAAAAAAATACAAAAATTTGTGAGCATTGTATTCAAAATTTAGGTTCCACACATCAAAATTTTTCACAATATGCAAGATTAGTACGACTGCGAAGTTATAAAAACAATACATTGTTTTATGTAAACAGTGAAACATTTGAATTATTTTAAAAAAATGGAGCATATATTTAGACAGCATCAAAAAATCTACGTGCAATAATAATCCCGCTTATAAAAAGCTTTTAGTTAATAAGTTTTTGAATATTTTAAGTAATAGTCATATTTTATCATGTCATAATTTACATATAAAAATAGCAAATAGATATGCCGTTTATAGAATGAAAATAGCGAATGCAAAAAAAACTGTTAAACGAAAGAATTATGACAGTAAGTCAATGGCGATGCACAGTATAACAAAATAAAACAAATTGTTAAATTTTATTTACTTAATTTTCTCCTTCATCATCGAATGGTTAAATTTTTACTTTGCATTTGTCTTTCGTTACTCATTTACATGTTATACATCGTACACATTACATATTAAAAAATAATTTTATTAATAAAAATATAAAAATGCAATTAAAAATGAAATTTGCACGATTAATATTCAAATATTATTCGAATCGATGTTTCATCCGTGTTTCTGAGGTTAGTGATGTCTCGATTTTCGTGATCATACGCTTACGCTGAAGTTATCTCCACTTAGATTAGAGAAAAAAAGGCGGACCAATCAAAACCATATTTCTGATGGCCAGACTCTTATTAAAGGATCTCTACCCATAATATCTAGTAAGTTCATTTAATAAAAAAATTGGCGTACCAAGAGCATATTGGCATATTTAAAGTACGTACAAATCAAACAACCATCATTAATTATTGTTTACGATCGCGATGAGTATAAATATATTTTGCAGATGGATAAAATGAAAATTCTCTAGAATATCATCCCAAAAATTGGCAGCCATGAACTAGACTCTGTGTTTGACTATGCTCTTCTGCTGTGTCGAACCGTGCCGTAGCGTGTCATTGTTGGAAAGCACCGTGTCTGACACCGTGTCGATGTGTGTCGCCTAAATGCCTTGATGGAAAGCTCCCGATATGAACTATAAATTTCCAGCACTGGCAGCAGTAAATTTCGGAACGCAGCGTATGTGTAATCCTTCTCGGCAGCTTCGTGATGTGTATGCAAGCACGTGCATTTATAATCTCATATATCTTTGATTTTTGCAAGTGATTGCAGGAAGAACTTTATTGACCCCAATCCCGGGGGTTGAGCTACCCACCGGGCGCGTCTCCAAGGTGGCGGATAGGAGGACGCCCAGTAGGTGTGAGCTCTCTGAGGGGACTCAGTGCTGCTGAGTAGTGGCGGTTATAACCTGGCCCCACGGAAGTAAAACCCTGTAAAGGATAAGGGAAGACCGTTGCCGCGAACCAGCTCCCCAAGCCAAGTTGTAAGCCATCGTGGCGATGGCTGCATGTCACTGGGGGAGCAGTGTCGCGAACGATGCCTCTGGGGAACCGGGCGAAACCCCAGAGTATCCAGCCTTACCCACGCATGCGGGGCTCTGCGTGGGCGGACCGTGTAATTCCCTAGCTACTCGTGGGATCACTATGGACTTTCTTAATAATTTAAACTTAGAGGATGAAGTGGGAAATCAGGAGGGCTCGCGTGACGGGTCTCCGAGGGAAGGAGCTGGGACGGTGGTGACGGATGGGATCCTTAAGGGCTCCGGAAGTGAAGCCGGCCCGGCTGCGCGGCAGGAGGCTTCACCTCCAGTTAAGAAAAATCGGTGCGGGGCCGAAAGAAGGAGGGCGAAGCGGATGAGAGCAGGGGCTCTGGAAGGGGCTCGCTCTCTTCCCGTGGCTCCCCCTTGTACGCCGGCGAAGATGGTGAAGGGGCACACCGATGGTAAACGTCGGAAGGGCTCCAATGAAACCCCTCCATCGGGCGGCCCACAGTGGATCGAAACGTGTAAAAAGGCGGACATGATTCAATAATGGAACCAATTTTTGTAATTGTAAAATAAAAATTAGTACTCAGGGGTTTTCGAGGTCGCTGATTACGAATCTGATGTAAAATGTAAAAAATTAAAAATGGCAGATCCTATATGGCGGATCGAAAAAATGAATAGTGATTAAAATGTTTGAAAATTGGTATAGTTATGTTTTTAAGATCGCTGAATTCAAAAATAAAACAAAAATTGAAATTTATAATAGTGGATCCAATATGGTCATGGAAAAAAGTAAAATTATTTTCATAACAATTCCTACACTATGCTCCCTAAGGCTAGATTGATTCAATTATTATTTTGTTTTTTATACTGCATTGCCACTATTTTCTTTTATCAAGTTCAAAGTTAGATTAAATTAGAATTAAATACTTGATCTCAGTCGAATCCAGGATCACGGCAAGGACGTGTCAAGTAGTAGATTCCGTTTTTTTCTTTTCTTTTTTTTACGTTTTTAAAAATTTTATTTATTTTTTTTTTTATTTTATTTATTTTATATTTTTTTATATTTTATATTTTATATTTTTTAAATTAATTTTATATTATTTTTTTCTGTAGTTCTGTTTCTTTACTAATAGTAGTTAATTTATAAATATTACATTAAAAGATCGAGAGTCTCTGAAAACATTTCTTGTTTTTTTCCTTCATTAAGTTTGCTCGTTGACTGGAAATATAAGGATCAGAAGTAATTAAGAGATGGTGCAAGAGGTCTTTATTCGGAGCGACTCTATTTATTTTCCTCGTATGCTCCTCTCTATACTTCCTAAATTCTTTGTTTCGTGCCTTGCTTGCCTCTTCCGACAGTTGACCAATAGGTATTAAAAAATTCGAAATAATTGCCTCTCCGTGCACCAAAAGTTTATGCACAGAGGAGGGCATGTAATACCATCCGTACATGTTAATACATTCTCTCGCTGTTTCTAGAGCAAAATGCCCAAACTTTTTTGCGTCTACTGCTTCTCCATTGCAGATTGCTTGTAAGATTATTGCAAATCTTTTTATGAGCGATTCATTTAACCCAGTGATTTTAGCAGTTGTACCTATTTCCGTAAAAAAGCGTCTGGCTGTATTCCCGTCATTTGTCGTCTCTGTACCTTGTTTTACAGTATCGATAAGCAGGCCTAGCTCTTTTCTAAACTTGTCTTGAATATTTTTTTTCGTCTTTTGTCGTTGCTCTTTGAAAACTGGATTTCGTACAATCGATTTTTTAAATGATAGATTATAAGATATGTTAAGTAAGTACTCCATGCAGCGAATCCTTGCGTGGAGACTTGACAGCCCAAAATTGCATGTATTCTGATCAATGTTTCGTGTCACAACTTTATCAATATTGTTCATTTCGGTCGGTTTGGCACCACATAAATAGCAACTTGCGCTGGACAATGCTAAGTCCGATAAAGCGGTGCAAACCTTACCATCTATCATAGTAAATAACATTTCATAAGTAATAGTCACATTTTCCCATTTTAATGCAACCAGATTCTTTATTTCAGTGTCCACTCTTTCGAATTCTTATTTAATAATTTCTGTATTTTCATTTATGAATTGAAATTGAATAGGTCGACAATATCGAGTAGAAGACGGAGTTGGATTGGTCCATAGAACATCATCACAGTCACTCATCAACTTGATGGGGACAAGACTGGTCATAAAGACAAAATTATCCAATGCTTTTTCGTCTTCAAATGCTTGCTTATATGAGCTTTGATTTGAAGATCCATTAAAGCCCCACTTACAAATTAACTTTAAGTTTGTATAAGACTGCAATTTTTCTTCACATACTTTCAGCAATTTGATAGTGGTAAGATCCAAGAGAGCTTGTAATTCGATAGAAGCATAAGTAGCAGTTGTTGGCACATGTGCTACGGGTTATGTTGCGACGAAAAGTCTTAAACTATAACATATTATAATATTCCAAGAAAGAATTTTATTATTTTTGATATTTTATTTTATTTTATTATAAGTTAATATTTAATATTTTTTATTTTACTTTTTTATATTTAATATCTAATTTGTTACTTTTCGTTATATTAACTATTAATTTTTTTCGTGTACTACAATAAAGATAGTAAAATAATACACTACTGTGTGACCGTGAGGAGAATCTTATGACTTTGATCGTTATACGCTTCAGTATATCATCTTAGTCAGTCGTGTTTTTCTTCATTACTTCTGTTTATTTACAAAAATTAATTTATTTGAGAAATGGGCGGCTTGGGGCAGTCAAACTTTTTTGGTTTGTATAGTAACACTTTTTAAAAAAGTTATTTGACTATATTCAATCCTAACACACTTAAACATTTTTTTGTTAACGAGAACTTATATGGATATGGAGATAAAAATTGCACACACATAAAATTGAGAATAACAATTATCATACTGGGGTTATATTGTGAAACACAACATTTTTTTCTATACTACAGTATATCTT